TCTGAGATAACAAAAGTTCAGTGCAAGAACTGGCAACTTTGATGCCGAAGAAATATTTCAGCACTCTTCAATATTTAATGTTGAACTGTTCCTACAGAAAGTCGTTGATATGTTGAATAGTCGCCAGATCGTCACCACCAAGGATGGTATCATCCACATAAATAAGGGCAAGGGTGTAAACTCCATTTCATAGATAAATAAAAAGAAATGATCGACCTTAAACTGCTGAAAAATCAGACTACTTAAGTGAGTGAGTGAACTTCATATACCAGTTCCGAGACGCCTTTTTCAACCATAAAGAGATATGAAAAGACGGTCGAAAAAATCTCGGAGGAATGTAGAAAAGCGCTATTAATGTCCAGCTGGTGCAAATGCAAGTCCCTGTCACGGTGAGCAGCCAAAACGAGAACTGAAAGAACTGTCACAAGTTTGGCAATCGGGGCAAAGGTGTCGTGGTAATACACCCCCTCAACCTGGGTAAATCCTTTTGCGACTAAACTCGCCTTATACCGCTCAACACTGCCATCGGGGTGAAACTTGATCTTATAGACCCATTTGGACGCAATAGCTTTCTTACCTGGCAGCAATATTTATAAATCCCAAGTGTCGTTGGCTTCCAAAGCCGCAATCTCTCGCTGCATGGCTTCACGCCAACAAGCCAGCTTGACAGCATTATGGAAAAACTGTGGCTCAACCAAGGCATCGGCCACTGACGCAAAAACACGGTGATTAGCTAAAAGACTAGTGAGAGTAACATAAGCAGACAATGGATATTTCACCATCATGGTATAAGAGACATGGAAGTGATTTTCGTTACCTTATAGATGCATAGAAGACTGGAAAACCCGATCACTACGACGCATTGGAGCTAGTGGGACGCTGGGAGCTGGGATAAGTTGGGACAGTCCATTGGGGAGAATTCAGCGTCAAGAACCGCGGAGGAAGGGTCTCCTTGTTTCTTGGTGGCGCCGCGGTAGGAGAAGGAAGCTAGCCCGGCATGGGTGAGATATCACTATTCAAGGAATGGAAAGGGAAAACGTTTCCTCAAACACAAAATCACAGAATGTGAAGAGACGATGGGAAGACAACTCATAGATAATGGGAATAAGTTGGGCGCCATCCAAAGAGCCATTCATACGGGGTTTGATTGACAAGAGAGATATGTGGAAGCCTATTGATTAAATATCCAGCCGTGAGTACACACTCGCCCCAAAACTTCCTAGGTAAATTAGCATGAAATGCATGTAGAGCCCGTGCAGTGTCTAGGATATGCCAATGTTTATGTTCGACATTCTCGTTCCGTTGAAGGATGTCAATGCAAAAAATCTGAAGTTGGATACCTTCATCAACATAAAAATCAACCAATTCATGGGATTGAAACTCAGTCCCATTGTTAGTATGGATAACCTTGCCGAGACTTCAAACTATTGAGAGGCCTGCCGAACAAACAGTTTTAAAAACTTGGCTGCCTAGGATTTAATTTAAGCAAATAAATCCATACTCCATGAGTGAAATTGATAAGAACCCGAGCTCGTTAAAGACTAGGTTCTTTGGATAGCTCGAATTGACCTTCAAAATGGCATAAAAATAAAGGGATATGGAGAAACCAATCAAACAACCTTGCACCGGGAAAGGAGACTTAAGTGATATTGATAGATACTCGCCACAATCAAGAGTGATTCCTTGATTGATAAGAGTCTTGAAAATCTATTCTGTAATCTTCAACAGAAAAGCTCAAACAACGATCTTGCACTCGCTATGGAATCCACCAATATCTAAGACAATAAACAATAAACACGCAGGCTCCATGGGGAAAAAACCTCATAGTAAAATTCTTATTCAACAAATTATACCGTCTCAAACAAGAGTTTACAACCCTTTAAATAGGTTTGGAAATAACACTAACACAAAAGGTTACTAAACTTGCCAGCCTCGATCCCCTATCTCAGATCCCCGGTCAGGGATTTCAACCCAAATGTCCAGGGTTCATTTTGTTTGAGATCGCCGGTCTCCCCAATAATTCCGCTGGGGGAAAGAATCACATCAATCCCTCCCCGTTGAAGAAGTTATGCCCTCAAAGCTTGAGTAAAACACTACGCATCATTCGCCCACTTGAACTTAAGCAATCCACAAAGCTCTCGATCCAAGCAATTTTCTAGCTTGGCTTGCAAACAAGATTCCTTGGACTCCTCCATTATGGGTTCAGTCTCTAATTCTTAAACTTCCATTGACATGAAAGAAAATCATCCATAGAAAGATGAAAATTACGCCCCTGCTACTCTCAAGAAGAGCCTCGAACCTTTCTACACAATCTTCATTCATCGTTCCTTGTTTTGCAGCGACAGTCCTCAAAGCTTGTGGGATAAACCATATGCTCCTTTTACACCGTGACCATCTCGTAGAAATCTCCATCTTCCTTTTGCGGCTCTAGAGTGCCTAAGGTTGGAGAAACCACTCAGTTGCCTTCAAGGAACATACCAGAAGCATGAGCATCCTTCGAATCGTCCTCTAGCTCAACATCGACTTCATCAGAACTAGAACTCTATTGCACAGGAGAACTCGAACTCAAACTCAAACTCAAACTTGATCTCTGTTCAGCCATGGTTTGGAGTAAATTTTCCATCTGAACCATCTGTGTTGCAAGCAGTTTTATGGCTTCATGTTTTTCTTCGTACTCTCGCTGTCATCATTGCAAAGTCTTCAAATCATCGGCAGCTTCCTTCGGGGATAAATGTTTTAAAATGATAACCTTCTTCTGATGCTTAAATCAGAAGCTTTTTGACCTTCTGCTAACTAGATGAACTCTACGATCTTGGAACAAGGTTTGTCCCAACACAATTTGATTCGTAATCTTGTACATCGTGTCACACAATACCGGTCTTCATATTTGCCAATTGCAATTTCATAGAAACCTGTCAGACCATGAGGCTTGAAATCTTCTTGTCAGGAAACTATAGAATGTAAGGAGCTGCATGTAGACGTATTGCTAGCCCCAATTTTGACGTTGCTCTTGAGATGATCAAATTTGATTTGATCACTCCATCTACAAGCACAGAACACACCTTCTCTTGAACCAAACAACGAGTATGAACATGTTACCTCACTCTAACTCTTTCGCCATTACTTTAGCTTGAAGAAAACTATGTGAGCTTCTTCTCCTTGCCAATGATTTTGAATCAGGCTCTAATAAAACTTGATAAGATCCTGAGTTCGTGAAAGCATAGGTTCATTTGATTAGAGGCACACAACAACAACTCAAACTTGGATAGCTCGAATTGACCATTAAGCCTAGGTCTTGGAGATACATGTGTTTGCTGATTGTGCAAGTCTATCTATGGTCTCAAGCAGGCATCGCGTAATTGGTATCTAAAGTTTTCAACTACCTTGCTCCGTCTCAAATTTTGCCAAAGCAAATCCGATTACCCTCTCTTCATTTATCACCATGGAGCTTCTTTTTTGGTTGCTCTCATTTACATTGATGATGTTATTCTTGCTGGAAATGACTTTGGCTTTATCTAGTAGGTCAAGGATTCTCTCCTCAGTTTACTATTAAAGACCTTGGTCCCTTAAAGTACTTTCTCGGTATTGAGGTAGATCGTTCTTTCAGGGTCTCGTCCTTAATTAGAAAAAATATGCCTTGGATATTCTTGCGGATTCTGGTCTCGAAGCTACTCGACCCAGCTCCTCCCCTATTGAACAAAATCATCCCGGCCGCCTTGAGTCGCCTCCTGCCGATGATCCTGCTGCTTTTCATCGTCTTCTCGGACTCCCTCTCTATCTCACTGTACTCAACGCGACATCACCTATGTTGTCAACCTTCTTAGTCAAGTTTTTCATTAATCACTCAGGCTTATGTCGCTGGCGCTCAGCGTTTCCTCCGGTATCTCAAGTAGGATCTTGGTCGTGGTCTTTACTTCCCTGTTGGTCGTTCTCCTCAACTTGTTGCATACTTGACGCCGAATGGAGCGGGTGCCCTACCACCCGTCGTTCTAAGAGTGCTTACTTCATAATGTTAGGGGGCCCTCCAGTTTCCTTGAGAACAAAGAAGCAATCGTTGTTGCTCATTCTTCGGCTGAGGCCGAATATCGTACGATGGCTAATACTGTTAGTGAGCTGTTGTGGTTTCGGTTGTTACTCACTGGCCTTGGTGTCCGTTAGTCTGGTCCTACCCCTCTCCACTGCTATAACCAGGTCGCCCTCCACATTGCTGCTAACCCAGTGTTTAATGAACGCACGAAGCATGTGGAAATGGATTGTTACTTCGTGCGTGAACGGGTTCTCTCATCAGACATCTCACCCCTGAAGATTGCCATTGATGATCAACCGCGGTTCTCTTCACTAAAGGCCTTGGCATTGACCAGTTTCATCATCTATTGTCCAAGCTTAGCATGCGTGATATCCATGCTTGCGCTTGAGGGGGCGTGTTATGTTTTCCAAAGTAAGTACCAAATTTGAATTAGTCATTATTTTATGATTAGTACTTAATTAGGTCTCCATGTGTCTTTTTGGGTAGGTTTTCCAGCCAACTTTCTATAAGAGCTCAAAAGTTTCGACTGCTTCTGTATCTTTTGTGTGTCGAAGAATAAAAGTGGCTGATAGCTCCTTTGCGGGCTATACATGGAGTAGTCTCGTTCACAAAGAATGGGGAAATCACGTAAATATCATGTCTCTTATTTCCGCACTATTTTAGATTTTAACACCAACAGTATAGGCAAAATTTCATACCCAACCCAATTAGGTTGGATAGTAAAATACTTATGTGTTTCGACAAGATTGTCATCCCAACTGTATAGTTAGGCTAGCCAGTATCTTAACCGCATTTTTTTTTATTTACAGCGAGCCCATTAGCTACAAGTTCAAAGATATACTTATGTTTACTCACATGGTCTATTTCTTTCTCGCAGGTTCATCCGTATCATCTATCATCCAAACAAAATTTTTTTTCATACAATCTTAAAGATTCAAATTAACCAATCACACCACACCGTTAAACACTTGCTAAAAAAATTTAATATTCATTAAAAATAAGATTGCCAGACAAGCTTTCCTTGTCTCGCGATGGCACAAAGGACCTTTTTCTTTTAAGAAGTACCACAGGGTCGATAAGGAACTAATGTAGTGAGAAGAACCGAAAAGTTGTACGTTCACCTAAAATACAAATGGCCGGAGTTAACGGCTGCCTACATAAGCATTTGGAAGTTGTCCGGCCACATTTCCAAACCATGATGATCATCCGTGTCTTCCCGGCGGGGAAATGCTGGCGCAGATGTGAATCGACGGCTTTTCAAGTGGCGCCGGCGGCAACCTAAACTTTCTCGCTGCAGAATAAAAGCCACCAGAATGATCATTTTTGGGGCCATGATGGTTAATAATTTGAAAACATGATTTCAACCGGCTATAAGAGTAGTATACTGACCTGTATAATTCTTCTGGAGAGGTTCGAGAAGAACCCGGCATGAATATGCTGGCTGAACTCCATGGGCCAAGATCATCACTAGGCCAATCACAAGGCTAGAGAGAAGCAACAGGCTGGTGCTTTTCTGGGTGTTCATAATTTAAGTAATACCAGAGTACATGATAATCTCTCCCTCTCTTTCTTTATCTCTATATATATCTGTATGTATTATTAGTGGACAACATAAATTCCAGTGCTTTCTTTTTCAAAAAGAAATTTCCTTGTTTGAAAATGTTTTTCCCAACAGGAAGTGTGGGGCTTTCGTGGGTCTACGCGTAGTTGTGCCGAACTGTGCGTCTGTGCCGATGCTTTGTTGACTTACTGACATGCAGGCGACGACTTCATTTTCATTGATTTCTTTACGTTTCAAATTAGAATATTTCTTTTTTCGAAAGATCGAAGATCAAGTTTTTATTCCAAAGGAAGATCAAGCTTCTAACCAATGGATCGTAGAGTCAGATAAATTTCTCCTCGTATAAAAAAAAGTACTAAGAATATGCGAAAATAATTCATTGAATGTATTATAGTAACTGACATTTACGGCAGCTTCTTTCTCTTATTATTACTCTCCGCTAAAAGCAGTGATGTCCAAAAACAATAAAAGTAGCTGATTATTTGTAAATGGATTTATTTCACCATTATAAACGAAATTATTTCACCATTATTATTATTATCTAGTCATCCTATATAGCATTTCTGGTGTGCTTCGTGATATTTTTTGTGTGCTTACTCTTTTCAGGTTTGTTTCATGATAGTTGTGATGTGGTTGCACATATTTTTTTATCTGCTTTTGGAAACTTGTAGTATGTTTATGAGATTTATGATCTGGTTTAAAGAACTTGTGGTCTGTTCTATGAGGTTTATGGTCTTCTTCAAAGAACTTGTTATATGTTTTATGAGTTATTTTTTCTGCTTCAGGGAACTTGTAATCTTCTTTATGAGATCTTTTGTCTCTGCTTCAGCAAAGTTATGGTATATGTTGAGTTTTCTTGTATACTTTGTGAAATTTTGTAATGTAGTAATGTTTTGTTCTGTTTTATAAGCTGTATGGTCTACTTTATATTATTTGTTATGTTTCTTTTCAGTATTTATTGTTTTCATGATACTTGTGGTCAGATGAGGGATGCGGAATAAAATAACAGTGGCACATGCATATGGGCCTTATATTTAAAAATGACAAGTGTTTTCCTCTCTTTTTTACTGGAACTAGATCTAGTATAGCACCATGCTAACAAATTGGATGTTAGCATCCTAACCTCTAAAGAGTTTGTAGGGTATTTGACATGCATATTAAGGTGAATTCGCATATGGTCAACCATCGTTGCAGTGCTCCATAATGAGCAAGTTTAACTTTGGTTTCTTACTTATGAACCATGAATCTCTCTCATACTTTCCCTATGTTTGGCCCGGCTTTTAGAAGTGCTTTTCGGGTTCAAAAGCTGAAGCAAGGCCAAACACTTGTAAAAACTCGGCTTTTGAAAAGCCGAAAAGCGCTTTTGTATAACATAAAAGCAGAAGCTCCGATTTGGAGCTTCTGCGAAAAGCTGTTTTGAAAATACAAGATTATCCTTACCATATTAAAATTTTATTTCAGAAAATATAATTTTCCTTCATTTATATCATTTTAAAAATAAAATAAATTACAAAATCATATTATTTAATATAAAAGAAATCTAACAAGATCCATTTTGACTAATTTTTATTGTTTAGAATTTTTATTCATATTTTATATTATAAGTCATTTATAGTCATTTTACACAACCTCTTATATTAAAAAGCACTTCCAATAGTTTAACAGCCAAACACTCAACTGTTTTTTTTTTAAAATTACTTATCTAAAATGTAACATCTCGTTCCGGCAAAATCCATATTTCGATCGCTAGAAAGTTCGCGATTTAAAATCGAGCGTTTTGATAATATTTCGGTGAAAATTGGATTATCGATCGATCAAAAAAGTATACGTATTAATTAATTAATTAATTATATATATATGGCGAGTTCTACGGTACCCTGGATGAAATCCAGGGTACCGCATACCTTGAGTAAAAAAAGCTATCGAGAACTTGAATTGACTGATCTTTCGGACATGATACTATACTATAACCCATAAAGATCAAAATCTAGGTCGTAATTATCTAAATCTGATACCCCAAGATCAATTTAATTAGAAACAATAATCGACGGTTATGATTCGTCCAAATATAGGCAAAAAAATCAATGAACCATCTTAGGGTTTATAGTTTATGATTTAGATAATTAGGACCTAGGGTTCACTCACTAAGGGTTAGGATATAGTATCATGCCCAAAAATCCTGCTAATTTAAGGTCTAAATAGCTTTTTCATACTCAAGGTATGCGGTACCCCGAATTTCACCCGGGGTACCGTAGAAGGCACCATATATATATATATATATATAAAAAATAAGAGGCGGTCGGGGACATATATAATTCCCCCTCCCGACCATTCTCTCCCACAATTCACTTTGTTCTTTCTTTTGCTTTTGACGAACCGAGAGAAGCAGAGCGGCCAGAGTTCAGGGGAGCTTCTGTAGAAAAATTCTCCGAGCTCAATTCTTGAGCTCTAGTGATCCAAAAATCCTGTAAGTAATGCCTAATTCATTTATACATCGTGATTTATCGATTTAGAGTTTTAAAACGAGTTTTTGGTTCAGGAATTTCTTGAATTCTCGATAAGCCAAATTAGGGTTTCGGAGTATCCGGAAGCCGGATTGAGCCCAAATTTCATATAAGAGATTCCTGTAGCGAGATAATCAATCCTCTAGTTCTAATCCCTGAATTTCGGCTATTATTTAGGTCGGGGTCCAAATCGCTGAATTTAGCTCCGGCCAGGGTTTGATGTGTTTTTATCAAGAATTTGACCCGGAGCCTAGAACTAATATTGACGGGGATACTGCAGGGGATATTAGGACGGTCTCGGATTGTAATTCGGGGTTCGTTCGTGAAATTGACGTTTTGATACGGGAAGGTTAAACCGGTGTTTGAACGACCAGAACTGGTGAGGGATTAGCACGACATACCGGGTTTGTCGTATCACGATAATTATCCTTATGCTTAGAATTGACCTAGGTGAACTAGAATGGCATGATTAGGGGTGTATGATCTTTTGTGCTATATGATGAACCATGGACTACTGTATGATATTATTGACTTGCCCTAATCGAGAAGGACCTTGTTTATGTTGATGATTTCGTATATGTTGCAAATTGTGGGCTTGACTGTTGACATGCCTTATGATGGTTCGAAAAGGTGATTGGGTATGATTTTTCATGATTGTTGTATTTGGATGCACATGTGGGAAAATATATATTCCCTGGTGATATTATGACGTCTAAGGAGGATGACTTGCACGAGGGTTTATCCCGAGGAAGTGCAATTATACGACTCCTGATTTACCTATGTTGAGCCAATTGTGGCCAGGTCAAGTACATGTGCAAGTAACGAATTATGATTTAGCAAGATGAGATATGGATCATGTATAAGGATACCAAGTAAGAGTACTTTGGTCTCATGGTCAATTACATAGTAATTAGGGTTCCCTATGCTATTACTCTATTATGATATGTATAATAGTCACACATCTCATGTGGTGGTGACTGAAGAATTCTTACGAGATATGACCACACCCAGAGTGGTGTCGGGGTATGACTACACCCATAGTGGTGTGGGGTATGTATGACCACATCCGACGGGATGTTGGGGTATGTATGACTACATCTGACGGGATGTGGGGTATGTTTCCCGGGAGAGTTATTAGCATGGGAGTAGCCAGACGCCTATAAGTAAAACATGATAAGATGCATATGCATAAGTCAAAGTGGTTGAGTCTTTTGCCTATTGGGATGCCGGAGGGCTGAGATCTGATCCCAGTGCTTTGGCTTGTTTGCTAGATGTATGGTAGGGGTATGTTGGTTATGAGCTCACTATGCGATGATTATCTCACTCAGCCATGAGCTGAACCTCTTTTATTCTTCTTCTCTGCTTATGCTATGTGTAAGCAGATCATCATCAGTAGTAGATAGGTGTATAGGTGGGAGCTGAGCAAGAGTTGAGGGCAAGATTAGGTATGGTCTTCAACTATTTTGTGCTTGGACTACTACTCAGGATTTTGGCCAGTGATCCACACCTTTTTGTAAAAATGTTTTGAGAACGTTTTTCATGTGCATACTAGCTTCTGATGTAGTGTGAGATATCCACAGGTGTGGAAAGTTGATGATATGTGTATATTTTTTGTAATTGTGTAAGTTGTGACGATTATGGCTTGTATCAGTATAGTATGCAGTTGTGTAGTAATGAAACTGTGACTATGGCTATGAAAGCCAATGCATATGGTTGTGAGTATATATGTTTGTGATGAATTATTTTGCAGGATAAGTTGCAAGAACTGTTAGCCCATTACGCGAGTAATTCATGTCGAAATTTTATTTAGGTAAATTTTGATAATTAATGTAACACCCGAGATTAATTCCGCTGCAATTGTATGAACAATATGAATAGGTAATACGCATAGGGTAGGGTGTTACATAAAAGCTCCCGCCAGAAGCTGCTTCTGCAAAAGCTACAACAGGGCCAAACTAAACTTTTGCAAATGTGAAATTCGCTTAAATTGTTAAAAAAAATATGGCATTTTTGCGTATCATCGTCATAAAGTTCTACAAATTTATGGTATGTTTTTTTTTTCCCCGATATATAAGAAAGTAGATATTTTATGCCCTTGCCTCGCCTCGCCTTCGCCTATAGGTTACTGAGTGACACTTCGCCAACAATATAGGACTTCAGAATGAAAGACCGATCCAAGTCAACGAAGCCTAAACCAAAAGTTTAAGAAAAGGAGTCGTCACATACTCCTCGGGACAGTCTCAGCCCAAATGTCAAGCCATAAAGATTGACTCTTTTGTTCTGGAAGTGAAAAAAACCCAACTATATCTGAGCAGACGATCAGTAGAGGATAATATTAGTAATTAAATAAATAAAAGCTTCAAGACGGTGGCGAATCCAGGGTTGGGCCAATTTGGATCCAGAGGTTATATTGAGTCCCCTCCATATTTTTTGGCCCACTTCTAATCATGTTGGCCCAACTCTCTCGTCCGTCTCCCAACCGCCAAATGATGGAGCTATGGACTCCAAGCTAGCTAGTTGTGTCGTGAAGTGGGTAATGGGTAATTGTTGGGCTTATGTATGTGGGTTTTGGATTATTAGTGCATGGACTTGATTAGAAGATTAGTAGTGCTAGGTTGCCGAGTTAGCCAGGGAGAATT